CAGTCTATTTGCTGTTCTGTATGCTTCTTGAACCTTCAAAGAAATATCTTTCTTTTGGTTGGGAAAATTTTCTTCTATAATTTTATTAAATATATTTTCTGGACCGTTGAGCTGCACTTCTTCTTCTTCCTCTACCCTATTATTCTTAGGTTTGGTCTTTTTATTGTGTCCCAGATTTCCTGAATGTTTTGTGATGAGAGCTTGTTGAACTTGCTGTTTTCTTTGATCAGTGTGTTTATTTTCTCTATGGTATCTTCAGAATCTGAGATTCTTCAATCTCTTGTATTCTGCTGGTTATGCTTGTTTCTGTAGACTCTGTTTGTTTACTTAAATTTTCCATGTCCAGCCGTCCCTCTGTTTGTGTTTTCTTCTTTACCTCCATTTCAGTTTTAAAGTCTTGAACTGTTTCCATTATCTGTTTGATTGTTTTTCCTTGGTTTTCTAGGGTATCATTCAGTGATTTATTCAATTCTTTAAACTTTCTGTTATATTTCTCATCCATTTCAATAAGGGCGTTCTTTACATGCTGTTTAAGAGCGTCAATCACTTTCATGAAGTCAATTTTTTCTACTTCTTCTTGATTAAGGTGTTCATGTCCTCCTGTTGTGAGGTCGCTGGTTTCTGGTGGTTTCATGTTGCTTTTTTGATTGTTGTGTGAATTCTTGCATTGGCGCCTGACCATCTCTTCCTCCAAATGCTCCCCTATGGATCTTCTTTTACAGGATCAGGTCTCCTTGCCTACTGATGTACCTTCCCAGTGATGGCTCCCCCCAGTGATGGCTCTCCTCGTGCCGAGATCAGATCTCTGTGCCCAATGATGGCTCTCCCCAATGCTGGCTCTCCTGGCGCCGAGATCAGGTCTCCGTCTATACATTACATTTTTAAATGAGCTGCACAAACATAATACCTTAATCAAGAGAAGAAATATACATATAAAAAATTTGACCTTAAATCTATATCAATAGATCAAGATCCATACCAATGCAAAGTATTCATCTCTATAGCATATCCCACTTTAAATGTAAACAAACATTTATAAACAATACTTGAGAATTTGGGCACAATTCTCTCCAAATGGCTTCCTGTTTTTTGTTGGGTGAAGTAATTTTAGATGTTCATGGAGACCTTTTAGGGGGTCTTGTCCCATTGAACCATATTAGTCTGGAAGGAATCCACAAGATCTCATCTTCTGTGGAAACAAAAGCAGAACCTCTTTTCGAAAGCAACATATCCTTAGACCCAAATTTTGAAGTCAAGATACTTTTAAAATACATATGTTGGTTTAGCTTAGCAGCCCCCAGAATCAAATATATCTCTATAGTCAAAAGATTCATAGAAAACATGATAATATACATAATCTGGACTCTATGTAATATTCCCTCTTTATATGGCTTATTTTTCTTATTCTATTTACTTTTTCTATAAGTAAAATATTCATTTTATTATCTTCTTTAATCTATGACTGTCTATACTCTGTCTCTTTACGTCTTTTATTATTAAAAACTATTTACTTTTATTGCTGTATATACTCTTTTTCTTCTCTCTCCCAAGCCTATGTATATTTTTGTGTCTCGTTTAGGGATCTTTTATGTCTGAATCTGTCTTATTTTGTATCTGTAATCCTTTTCTGATGGCAAGAACTTCTTAAAATGTGAAGCATGGATAAGGAAAATGTACATTTATACAATGGAGTACTACACAGTTAGTAGTAGTAACTACTACTAACTATATCTTGAATTTTGCAGGCAAATGGATGGAGCTAGACATCATTTTGAGTGAGGTAATCCAGACGCAGAAAGACAATTATCACATATACTCACTCACAAGTGGCTTTTAAGCATAAAGCAAAGAAAACCAGCCCAAAAATCATAATCCCAGAGAGCCTAGACAACAATGAGCACCCTAAGAGAGACATACATGTAAGATCTTATCTACATGGTTAGTAGAAAAAAACAAGATCCCCTGAGTAAATTGGGAGCATCAGGACCTTGGGAGAGGATTGAAGGGGAGGGGACAGATAGGGTGGGGATCAGAGAAAACTGTAGAGCTAAATAAAAATCAATAAAAGAAATGTGAAGCGGTGTGCCTAGGATTAAGGCTGCTTTGCCTTTTGAATTCACCCAGTACAACATGGCAGAGGTCTGTTCAGGACCAGCACTGTGAGCCATGCTCACAGCCCCATTTCCAGGCACACAGTGGGTCTATGTTGCCATTAAGCAAGTTGTAGCACTCGGCTAACTAATCCCATTTAAGTGCTCAGCCTCCTGAAAAAGTCAGGGCTGTTCATTCAACTAGCACAAACCAGGAATCTGCCATTTTGAACCACACAGGTTTTTTTTTTTGCCACTAATACTGAATTAGAAATACCTCTCTTAAAGGAGCCATGGTACCCCTGCTTGCTGCCAGCAAACATAGCACTTCTTGGAAAAAAAAATTATAGCTACCAAGAAGCTGTGCTTGGCTCCCATTTTTGTGCATCTAGAAATCCTCTCTCTCTCTTTTTTTTTAAAAATCATTTTTACGTCTTATGTGGATTCATGCTCCAGATGGTGGGTGCCATTCTGTTGATGGTGGCCGCTTGTTTGTTTCTTGGCCACCCAGACCCAAAATAGTCACACCGAAACTATACTAATTACAATACTGTTTGGCCAATAGCTTAAGCTTATTTCTAGCTAGCTCTTACACCTTAAATTAATCATTTCTATTATTCTGTGCATCACCACAAGGTCAGGCATAGCAGCAAGGTCCCAGAGAGCTCCCACAGGAGGCGTTCTCCCTTAGTGGTAACATGGCATCTCTGTGACTTCACCTACTCCTTCCTTCTCTATATGCTTGGAATTCCTGCCTTGCCCTATTCTGTGCTGCAATAGACTGAAACAGATTCTTTGTTAACCAGTGGTATTCACAACATACAGAGGGGAAACCCATATCATGGATCTCTACATCTGCTTCCATTAGTTACCAGATAAAGGCTCTCTGATGACAATTAGGGGCTTACCAGTCTGATTACATTAGATGGCCAGTTCAGGCACCCTATCCACTATTGTTAGGAGTCTTATCTTGGATCATCCTTGTAGATTCCTTGGAGTTTACCTGGCACCAGGCTTCTCCCTAACCCTGAAATGTCCCCTGCATCAAGACATCTCTTTCTTTACTCTCCTTCTCTGTCCCAATGCCAAACAACTCCCACACCCAGCCCACTCAACTAAGTTCCCATCCTCCTGTCCCCTCAACCCTGCTCTAGTTTACCCTGGAGATCTCTTCTATTTTCCCTTACTAGGGAAATCCATTTGTCCCTCTTTAGTACCTGCTTGTTATCTAGACTCTCTGAGGCTATGGATTGTAGGTCAGTTATCCTATATTTCACTCCTAATATCCACTTATGAGTGAGTACATACCATGCTTGTTTTTCCGGGTCTGGATTTTCTCACTCAGAATGACTTTCTAGTTCCATCGATTTGCCTGCAAATTTCATGAGGTCATTGGGTTTTTTTTTGTTGTTCTTTTGTTTTGTTTTGAAACTGAGTAGTACTCCATTGTGGAAATGCGCCACATTTATACAAAACAATAAGACTCTGTGTATGCTTTATTTGGTAGTTCTGTGATAGGTTCCCCCCAAAAGCCAAAAGAGTAAAATAACCAAAAACAAACATTCTGAGAAATAAAAACATCCTATTTATAGTATCTGATGATAGAAAGTGTTGGAGGGAGGGAAGAAGGAAGGAACAAAACCTAAACCTCTTAATTAAAATTTTTTAAGACAATGAAGAACGGTACTGAAGAAGGCACTAGAGGATGGAAGAGCCTCCCATGCTCATGAACCAATGCAAGCAATGCTGTGAAATGGCTGTCTCACCCAAAGCAATCTACACATTCAATGCAATCCCCATCAGAATTCCAGTGCCATTCTTTACATGAGCAGGAAAGCAATCCCCAAATCCACAGGGAAGGTCAAACACTCTTGAATAGACAAAGGCATCTTAAGCAAAGTAGTGATGGAAAGATTACAATGCCTGATCTCAATTTATAGTAAAGCCAGTACTGAGGAGATGGCTCATAGGAGGGAGATCTGTTGCATTTGTCACCAGGTTAGACATTCTCGTTCAGTCTCTGGGATCCATATGGTAGAAGGAAAGAATTTTCTTCTCCAAGTGGTCCTCTGACCTTCATGTGCACTCTGTGACACAGGAGCGTGTGGACACATAGACACACATGCAAACACACAAAATTAATAAGAAGAATAAAATACTAATAAGTTAGTTTAACTTAATGTTTTTAAGACTGCCATGTGGCCCAGCTGTACCACTCGTGGATATACACCCAAAGAACTCAGTCACTATACAACCAGAGATGCATGCACATACATGCTTATTACTGCAGTGCTCTCAATAACTAAGAAGGGAATCCATTCTGAATGTCATCGACACATGGACAAACAATATGCAGTGCAAGTGGACTTTTCACCACAAAGAAGCATTGAATCATGGCATTGCAGGAAGATGGATAGTACTGGAGATTGTTATATTAAGTGAGATAAGTCATGATCACAAGAGAAGTGCTATGTTTTTCCCCATACAAAGACTCTACACTTAATTGGGAGAGTAGAAAGTAGAAAATGGACCTCACCAGAGGAGGAAGATATCTTAACTGGGTGCACAGTCAAGAGAATTTATCTGACATAAAGACAGAAGGGAGGTCTATCTGGGGAAAAGTGGACCGGCAAGAGGAATGCAAAAAACAAAACAAATCAAGAATATATATCACTTACTAACCTTAAACATTGTTTCTAAATCTTCTGAATCTCATTACCATGTTTGCTTCTGTGGAATTTGTATGAATTTTGTTGCGGTAAACTGTTTTCATGTCTCAAAGGCAAAGCCCCTAAGAAGCACTCCACTTGGAATAGCCAAGGTTCTGTGAAAATGTCATTCATTTCTTGACCAGGAATGATAGTATTGAACTTTCCACACTTACATGCATTCATAGAATTTGCATTTTAGGTTCGCCGTTTCAAGTTTCCAGTCACACAGTTACCAGTTGTTTTGGAAATTAATGATGAAGAAAAAAAATTCCTCGCGGGACCTCCATATTTGGTTACCATAACTGAACTGAATAAGAGGCAAAACTGGCAAATAAGTATGTGTTCTGTCTTCTGTCTGTATCTACAAGCCATTCTATTATTGCTGTTTTGCTTAATGAGTGCATTACAAAGCTTGTTCACTGAAATAAACTGGAGTATTTCAGAAGAGGATTTGAATCATTGGCTTGTTCACGTTTACCTCTGTCATGTCCTCTTATGTTCTCATCACTTCCAGTAACCTGGGATTCAATGGTATACTGCCAGTAGTTTTTAGATTTGAACTTCAGGAGCTCAGTGGTTAAAAGAGTATACTGCTCTCTCAGAGGACCCATGTCAACTAGTTCATATAACTGTAACTTGAGCTTCAGGGATCCCTATGACTGTGTTTCTGCAGGGGCCTGTATATACCCACATGCAAACATAATTATAAATAAATCTTTAACACATACTATAGCATGGAAACATATCTGAGAGTCTTGTTGTAGATTAGTAGCAAAAATTAAGTTTGTGCTGTGTTCCAGTTGAGTTTCTTTACTATTTACTATGAGAGCAGCTAACTAAATATTCTAGGTGTTGCTGGATATTCTAAACATACGTATTTAATTATCTAAGGAAGTTTTGTGAAGATTTATTTAATTGAATGTGGTAGTATACAGTGGTAATCCCAGTACCTGCTATGTAGAGGAAAGAGTTTAAGGTCAGTTTTACTTCTATAGCGAGATGGGACCAGCCTGGGTTATGTGACATTGTCCCAAAAAGAAGGAAGAAAGAAAAGAAAGAGAGTGCGGATTTTATGGTAAAAGAGCCCCAAAGAGACAAATATATTTTACAATACAAAAGGAAATATTCTTAAATTCAGTTTTACCTCAAAGATACAACTTTCACTTGCATATTTTGTGTTTATTTATGTGTAAATATTTTCAGGTACTAGATAGATAAATGGATAGATGATAGATAGGTAGATAGATAGATAGATGATAGATAGATAAATGGATAGATGGTAGATAGATAGATAGATAGATAGATAGATAGATAGATAGATAGACAGACATATAAGGGCTGGGGCTGGAATTCAGTGGTAGAATGTTTGAAGCCTTAGGTTCAATTCCCAGGGTTGCCCCACAATAAGACAGGAAGATAGACTGACCTATTGGTGAAGACAATTGAAACCTTGATTAGTCGTCATTCTATCACTCTGTTTGCAGACAACTGGTAGTCAGTGAGTCTAACTCTCACAAATTTACTTTTTTATTGCTTTTCTATTTAATGTTTTTCTTTCTTTTTCCCAGTCTGATCACAGATTCCTCTCATACCCTCTTTTCTTCCTGATCCCTCCCCAAAACCTCCCCTCTTGCTCCCACCACCCATTCTCTCTCCTTTCTTATTCAGAAAGGTTACCCTACCAAATTGAATGCCCTCTTGAAGTCCAGGAAAGAAAGTAAAGCTCCCATTTTCCATGATTAATATTCCCAGTTTCTGTGGTATCCTGGTGGGTCTTACTAGGTTTGGAGAATTGACTTTGAAATATGGAAGCATTTTATAAGCCGACTCAAACCCTTTAAGTTCACATGGTGAGAGCATTCCCAATAGAAGGAGCTTAGGAGACAACAAGCTTGAGTTACTTTCCTTAGCTCCTCTCACCATTGCTCCACTAGAGTTCTAACACCTATACTGGTTCACTTGTTTAAAAAAATGACAAGATAGGTGGGAAGAGCTGCTTCCTTCTCCTGCAGAACCCATAAGGGATCCTATTGTGCAACTCTACTGCTGTTTTGGGAAAATCATTTGCCTTCCACTATGAAAACTATAAAACCATGATATGCCAGGATTGGTTTCTCATGAGTCAGAGTCTAGAAAGAACTCAAACTGCAGCAAGGTGGTCAGACACTCTCTCCCTGAGGAGGATATTGGGGGCAGTGTGAGGCAGTTAGTTAGTCTACTTCCCCATGAAGAGAAAGGAGGTTGTAGTTTGGCTTTAGAGGGTTTCTCTAGTGTGAAGAAGGCACTAGGATTCAATACCCAGTACCAGAATTTTTAAAATTACTTTTTGATGAATATGAGTGTTTTGCCTAGGTGTTTGTGCATCACGCGCATGCCTGTTGCCCTCAGAGGCCAGGGGAGGCAATCAGATCCCAGAACTGGAGTTACAGATGATTGTTAGCTGCCATATGACAGCTGGGAATAAAGCCCAGGTCCTCTACAAGAGCAGACAATGCTTGTAATCACTCAATCCACTCTTCAGTCCACAAGTATATGATAATTTTTAGAAATAAAAATAGGCAATTCTCCCTTGACCCCACATCCAGGCTAGGGTGTGTTGTATTTGATGTATGTTTGAGACGTCCATATCCATGCTCTGGGGTATGTTTTACCTTCTTCTGAGTGTCTCTTTTTCCTCTTAGCCCTTCTGCTTAAGCCTATATTAAAGTGTCTTTTGTAAAACCCAACTCTTAAGGTATTTACAATGTCAAAAATAACTAAGAGCCTGAGCTACCTTAGTAACATCACACAATAGAATCTTTCATTGCATCCTAATGTATATAACAACTTTTATGCAAAATAAAAAAATGTAAGTTTTCTAAATGTATTTTATATATTTCAGAGCACAACACTCCACTAAATGTTAGGAAAATGCAAGCTTACTTAGAGCCCATGCTTAAGACTGAAGTGTATAATCCTTTAGGGCTCAACCTAAGTATAATGGTGAGTTGACATCATTTTTCTTTTTACCATGCAGAGCTTAGAATAAGGCATGTGTGCCAGAGTCTACAGCTGGAGGATGGTGGGAAGAACAGCTTTAAAGTATATAGAAAACTTTTCTTTGTCTTTATTCCCTGATTGTCTTATTTCTAAGGGAATCTGAATGTTGAACAGGACATTAATTTGCTATTTTCTCAGAGATAGGCCAGATCAATTGACTAAAGGGAAGCAGAAGAGTTAGGGTCATAGAGATACATAAAGCCCAGGCCAATGTGAGAAACAGCGAGAGTGCAGAGGTAAGGTTAAAGCCATAGATATGAAGGCCAATTCAAAGTGTTCACCAAAGCCTGAAGGTTTTCTATTTTAGTTTCCTTCTGAAAATGAAAATGTGTCATTGAGTTCCTGTTTTAATCCCTCTTCATTTTATATGTGATGCTCATGACAGAAGCCATGGCGCTCCTTGTGAATGACATCTCTGAAAGTGGCGCCCACAGATATTGTTGTTTAAAGGAACACACACGTTGATACTGAGCTTCTGTGTTTGTTCCACAGGGCTCTGAGCTGTTTCACTTCAAGCTGTCTGTGGTTCCCGGGGTCACCTTTTGTGAGTTAGTAGAAGAACTTCAGGTATAGTAAATGCATGAAGTATGAAATGAGATAATAACTGGGAAATGACACAACTCTTGTCAGTCCAAGTTATGGAGGAAGATAAAAACATGGACAGAATTTGTGCCCCGGATAGGGCTTGGACAGGGTGTGGGTGGAAAGGATGTTTAATGTCCACAGGATTCTTGGTGGAATTTTATTGTCTGGTTAATTGTGGGGCTCATACACTGTCCAGTGTTTTCAATGACTACACCCAGAATATATATCATTTTTCCTTTTTCTTTTCAGATTTATGTTGACGAAGTTCCATTGCCTTTTCCAGGACATATACTCATTGCTGTTGCAACATCAGTAGTGATAGGGGGATTCGTTTTTATAGCATTTCTATTCCAACTGCGTAACATCCACCCACTGAGATCATTCCGGAGATATGTCAGAGGAAATACTGCAAACTCATCAAATATAAGTATCAGCTCATAAGTGAAAGTCTAGATAGTGAACAAATGATAATCATCAATTGTCTATATTTCCTAGTTTTATTGAACATGTCCACAAAATACATTTATATTTTTAAAATACACGTTAGATGCAATGTTATAGAATTATTATACTACTATAATTCTAATTACTGTTGCTCAACAGTTCTACATTCCATTTTCCAATTTTCATTAAATAAAAAATTATTTTAGCACTTGCGTGAGTTTTGTCTTTGTTCCTTTTTAAAGATTGTTTTGGAAAATATTAAATGGTCACCAACTCTCTGTGGAATGGGTGTTCCGCATCATTTAGCCTTACCTAGAGCACATTTTGTAGGGCCAGTTCTAGATAGAATAGTGGTTCCATAAAAGCGCCATTACACCATGGGGTCAGGCATGGAGAGGCTAGCCAACGTTTTCAGAGCCATGTAGGAAATAAAAAAAGAAGTCATTTAGGTCTTATAGAGAATGCCAAACCAGTTTGTGATACTAAAAAGAGGGGAAGGTGATTCCATCATAGAGGACTCAAAGAATACAGCAATCGAGCCAGGTGTTGGTTTCAAACAGGCAGCAACACAACTCCAAAGGATTTGTCTCTGTGTGCTTTTGGTGAACCTGTTCCCAGGACCCAGAAAGTGATGGCTACAGCCCGGTATCAGACCTGGCACACATGGGGGAGATTTGTGAAAGAGGACAGTGCTGTGGTTTCATTTGTGCATGGAGGAGGAACAGAAAGGACTACTCAGAAATGCCAGCCCCTCGGGGACTGTAAGCCTAAGATTAGGGGCATTTTCTTGTTTTATAATCACCCCTACTACTGAAAGTAAGATTATCATGAGTGATAAGAGATCTCAGAGCCCCAGGAGTCATGAGCACTTACTAAGCAAATAAGCTTAAGGGAATCTTGGGGCTGGAGTCATGGCACAGTGGCTTGGAGCACCTGTTGCTCTTGCAGAGGGCAGGGGTTGAATTTCAGCACCCGTGCAGTAGCTGACAACCGTCCGATTCTTCTCTATTGTACACATATCTCACCAGCTGTCTCAGCTATGTTTTCTCATCACTGTGACCTGACATAAAAAAAAAAAGTAGAAAAACGTCCTGGGGCTCACTGTTTCCTAGAGTAGTCTAGCAGGTTAGGGAAAATATGGTAGTGACATTAACTCCTATCTATGTTGGCTGAAGAACAAAGCAGCTGTTCATATCAACAGGTGTGTAACAGAAAGTTAACCAGAAGTGTGGTCTATCTATAACCTGTGTCCACCATCTATACCCTCTGTCTAAACATTTTCACTGCTCCACAAACAATAGCAGCAGATGGAGACCAAGTTATCAAACAAAGGCCTGTGAGTGAACTTTAAAACATAATTCAAATCACTGTTAAGTAGCTGAATGTTCCTGTTGGCCTCAACTATTTTGTCTTCTTTAATCACTTTTGCTAACATGCTAATTTATCTTGAAAAGTCACTTAGAACTATCTTACTACTAGATACATACCTTGTTTTTAGATCTTCCCTGAATACTTCATAATAAGTTTATTTAATTTTCTTACCTGTAATGAGGTATGGTGACATAATAATCCCTGTAATCCCAGCACTCAGAACAGTGGAGCAGAAAAAGTATGTATTCAGTGACAGCCTGGACTATATAATAAGACCCTGTCTCGAGTTCGAGGCCAGCCTGGTCAACAAGAGCTAGTTCCAGGACAGGAACCAAAAGTTACGGAGAAACCCTGTCTCGAAAAAGAAAGAAAGAAAAAAAGACCCTGTCTCCAAACTGAAAAAAGTTTTGGTTTTAAATTTTTCTTTGATCTAGTTTTTATGTCATTTTATATTCTGGTATCTGTCATTGAATACTTTCAGAATCTAAAGGTGTTGCTGCTTAAAATAAAATAGTCCCACACTGGCCCAGATTGAAGTATAATAAATGTTTATTTATTATTTAGGGGTAGGCTCACAGAAAAAGTGGTGATCAGCAGTCCTCTGGCATGGGTGGGGAACTGGGACTGAATCCAACAGCCAAAGTGGCTATGCACACTTTTACATCTGCATATATAGTACATGTGACCATGTCCAAAATGGGAAAGTATCTTAAAGGCTATAAGCTTAAGGAGTTTGCACAACATCTCCCCCTTTTGTCTAAATAAAAGAATTCTAAGCTTAACACAAAATTAATACAATAAGAACAAATACCATATATAAAAATTAGAATTACACATCCTGTTGGCCCTGGATCATTGGGCTACTGGCGGCCCTGTTTAGTTGCTGAGGAATCCCATCAGGACGGGTGAGTGTGTGCTATCCAGGGGCGGACTGTCCCGGAAGAGAGCACAAACCCCCTCCCCCAGCTCCTTCTGCAGGGCTGTCTTTCTTTCGCACGACCCAACCCCACAGCACCCCTCCCCAACCCTGCCCTGCTGTATGCTAGGACCAGTGCTCAAGTACAGTTTTAAGCTCCTAAGCTAAGGCGACCCACCCAGAGCAGTGAGTGCCTGCCTACCGGGCAGGCCTCAGGGTCCCCTGTAAGGGAGCCAGGCACCTTCAGCTCCTGCACCAGGCTTCCTGCGCGCTCCTGGATACCGCCCTCCCCCCTTGCTCCATTAATCCTGTTGGCCCTGGATCATTGGGCTACCGGCGGCCCTGTTTAGTTGCTGAGGAATCCCATCAGGACGGGTTCCTGCTTCTACACTGAAGAGATATACCCAGAGAGTCAATCACAGCAAAGACTGGATCAAGAGACCAGGCCTCTCCTGGCTCCATTTGAAGGAAGAGATGGGAAGGCGCCAATACAAGAATTCCTCCAACAACCTGAAAGGCAACATGACACCACCAGAAACCAGGGATCCCGAAATAAGAAGAATTGTACACCCTACTCCTGAAAAAATAGAAGAAATCGACTCAAAAGTGAACTATATGAAAATAATAGAGGACCTTAAACAGGAGGTGAAAAACTGCCATAAACAATTAGAGATTACAAAAAAAAAGGTAGAGGAAATGAATAAATCGCTCAAAGACACGCAAGAAAACCAAGAGAAACAAGAAAAAGCAATCAAACAGGTTAGGGAAGCGTTTCAAGACATGAAGAATGAAATGGAAGCAATGAAGAAAGCACAAACCGAGGGAAGAATGGAGATGGAAAATCTGGATAAACGAACAGGAATGACAGAGACAAGTACTAACAACAGATTACAAGAGATAGAAGAGAGAATATCAGACACTGAAGATACCATAGAGAAAATAAACACACTGATCAAAGAAAACAGCAAGTCCAACAAACTCTCATCACAAAACATTCAGGAAATTTGGGACACAATAAAAAGACCAAACCTAAGAATAATTGGAGTAGAAGAAGGAGAAGAAGTGCAGCTCAACGGTACAGAAAATATACTTAATAAAATTATAGAAGAAAACTTTCCCAACCTGAAGAAAGAGGTACCTATGAAGGTTCAAGAAGCATACAGAACACCAAATAGGCTGGATCAAAAGAAAACATCCCCTCGCCATATAATAATCAAAACACAAAATATACAGAATAAAGAAAGAATATTAAGAGCCGCAAAGGAAAAAGGTCAAGTTACTTATAAAGGTAAACCTATCAGACTTACACCTGACTTCTCTATGGAAACCATGAAAGCCAGAAGGTCCTGGATAGATGTACTGCAAAAACTAAGAGATCATGGATGCAAGCCCAGACTACTATATCCAGCCAAGCTTTCGTTCATTATAAATGGAGAAAACAAAATTTTCCAGGATAAAAACAAATTTAAACAATACGCAGCCACAAATCCAGCCTTACAGAAAATTATAGAAGGAAAATCACTAACCAAGGAGTCCAACAATGCCCACAATAACTCAGTCATCTAGAGACCTTTCACCAGCGCAACTCAAAGAAGGGAAACACACAACCCCTACTACTAAAAAAGTGACCGGAGTTAACAACCACTGGTCATTATTATCACTTAATGTCAATGGGCTCAACTCACCTATAAAAAGGCACAGGCTAAGGGATTGGATAAGAAAACAGGATCCAACATTCTGCTGTCTACAAGAAACACACCTCAACCACAAAGACAGACACCGACTCAGAGTAAAGGGCTGGGAAAAGGCTTATCAAGCAAATGGACCTAAGAAACAAGCAGGTGTGGCCATACTAATTTCTAACAAAGTTGACTTCAAACTTAAATCAATCAGAAGAGATGGAGAGGGACATTCTATACTCATAACAGGAACAATTCATCAGGATGAAGTCTCAATCCTGAATATCTATGCCCCTAATATAAAAGCGCCCACGTACATAAAAGAAACATTACTAAAACTCAAGGCAGCCATCAAACCACACACGCTAATAGTAGGAGACTTCAACACTCCTCTCTCACCAATGGACAGGTCAATCAAACAGAAACCTAACAGAGAAATTAGAGAATTAATGGAGGTAATGAAGCAAATGGACTTAACAGACATCTATAGATTATTCCACCCGAAGAGGAAAGAATATACCTTCTTCTCTGCAGCTCATGGAACCTTCTCGAAAACTGACCACATACTCGGTAGCAAAGCTAACTTACACAGTTACAAAAAAATATTAGTAACCACCTGCGTCTTATCAGATCACCATGGATTAAAGTTAGAATTCAACAACAATGCTACCCCCAGAAAGCCTACAAACTCATGGAAACTGAACAGTCAACTACTGAACCATACCTGGATTAAGGAAGAAATAAAGAAAGAAATCAAAGTCTTCCTTGAATTCAATGAAAATAAAGAAACAACATACTCAAACTTATGGGACACTATGAAAGCAGTGCTAAGAGGAAAGTTCATAGCACTAAGTGCCCACTTAAAGAAAACAGAGAAAGCTCACGTTGGAGACTTAACAGCCCACCTGAAAGCTCTAGAAAAAAAAGAAGCAGACTCACCTAGGAGGAGTAGAAGACTGGAAATAATCAAACTGAGGGCTGAAATCAACAAAATAGAAACACAGAAAACAATCCAAAGAATCAATGAAACA